AAATAAGATCCACTTCTTATTTGTGGAAGGGCGAAATGGGCGTTGACTATTAGACGCCTTCATTATAGCCATCCTTGTCTATCACATGGATTTCTATGGCTTACTTTATCGCTCTCACGTAACTTCTGATAGACCATCGGTACTTTCCTACACTGTATATTATCATAGTTAGAGCTCGGGGTTTTCGTCGGCTAATCATAGGCGTGTTCGTCGTAAACAAATAAATAAATAAACAAGTACGTATAAATAAAAATAAATAAATTTGCCTACTTTATCAGCAAAAGGTCATTTTTTACGCCTCGGGGCGTTCGACATTAGAAGAATATTAAAACACGAAGAAAACGCGAAACCGCGAAACCGCTTTTACCGGTTTCGTACGGTGCGCTGTAGCGAAAGGCCGACGCGACGGCTATGATCATGTGACCGGGTCCCGAGCTCTACTCATAATGTACCCAATCTATATCACTTTTTATTTGAATAAAATTAGCTACCTGAATAAAAAAAGAGAATCCGGCCTACAGCCAACCAACCCTATACCACATTGCAGCCGCCCTAACATTTCCGATCTCTACTTATAATATTCCTTAAGATAAAGCCAGCTGACATTCGATAAAGACCAAATACCGAATTATGTAATGAAAAAAAATATAAAGTGAATTTTGGAGCATTTCGTTCAGAAAAGCTTTCAAGGAGTCTCAATAAATAATAATTTTGTTTCAGACTTATCCGAAAAGCAGCAGCAACAACAAACGGCTTTATGGGAGCTCATAAAAACAGAAGTTGCGTATATAAAAACTTTAAAAGTAGTTACTGATGTAAGTGTACCACATCGCCGTTCAGGAATTTATTTTATCACGTTTTTATTCCAGCTATTCCTCGCTTGCCTGAAAGACTTGCAGTCAAAGGCTCTCCTGAAGGAGATCGACACCGACAAACTATTTTCCAACATCACAGAGATTCTCGACTCGAACGTGGTTTTTTGGAGGAATACGTTGTTCCCTTTAGTGCGAGACATGCGAAAATATAAGAGGTCTTCATGCATTGAAAACATGTTGGAGGGTTTTCACAGCATCCAGGATATATTTCAGCCCTACTACAAGTACTGCGCTGAGCAGTCGAGATGTCAGCATTATTGTCGTGAAAATCTCGAGAGCGAAGTGTTCACCGCATATTTAACGTGGTGTGAGAGCCAAAAGGAATGCAACAGGTATGGTTTTATTAATTAATGTGTACCCCACATATTAAACCCTCTTCTACACACATACAGAGTGTTCATTTAGTGGCCCGTACTTCTACCATAATCTTTTTGGTCGGAACAAAAACCTCGTTATTTCAGTGTTAATGAGTTCGAAGAAGGCACATTTTAGTATTAGTATACAGAACGTTACAAGAAAATGTAGCAAACGAAGGTATATTTTTGTTAAATGGAACAGCATGAATTTTCTTTTTTAATTGAAGCTTCTTTAAGTCTCCTACACAACTTGAAATTTATTTTTATCTTAAATGCCGTGTTGTCGAAGTATTGTTTGGTCGTTAACAATAATTTTCACGTAAAATTACTATATCTATTGTATCAGGAATATAATTTTAGGTAGATATTTAAGTCTTTTCATATGACAAAAGTGTTATAAGTAGTGTTATAAATAAAATTTTATATACGGGGTGTTCAAAATTCCTTTCTCCATATCGATATTTTGAAATAAACTTTTTTCAGTTCTTTTAAATAGAGCATAGTGTATTTTATAACGCGCAATAGAGCATTCGATTCTTTTAATTCAACAAGTTCATCATTATTTTCGGTGGTTTTTGAGGTAAGTATAACGGATTCATTAACAATGGGAAAATCGAAAGATGAAGATACTACACGTGAAATGGTGACCATTGGCGCAAACATGCCTTATGCGAAAGTTGATCGTTTCGGAAATACAGGGTGTTGATAGTTAAAATATTAAATCGTTTTTTTTGCGATTATTCTGATAATATATAGGTTAGGAATTTGAAAATTTGTAAAACTATATTTTTTTAAGCCACAAATAAGATGCTTGTTTGAATTTCAGCTTTGCTCCTAGAGGGCGCCACTTACGACCAATTTTACCGAAAATGTAGTTAATAACTTTTTGCCCCGTATGTCTAACATGAAACTTGATTCAAAACCTCAAAGAGCAATCATTTTTCGATTAATTATTTATTCTTGTTTCATTTCGGTATCTCGATGTTTTCGAGAAAAATCGATTTAACGAACACTATGTTTTGATAATACGAGAAATTAATAGCAAAACAAACTAAGTGTTTCTTCGTGTTATTACAACAATTAACAATAAAACAAACGAAATACATAATAATGATTTAATGTTATTGTTCGAAGAATCCACCGTTGACACTAATACACTTTACACAACGTTTTCTGACAGAACTTCGAATTTGAAACAACATATTGCGATTGCGGTGACTTCGTTGGCAGCGATTTGTATTCTTTGCCACAACTCTTCATGCGAACCAATAGATTATTTGTAAACTATATCTTTCATTCGAGACCAAAAAGAAAAATCAAGAGGATTGAAGTCTGGACTTCTGGGTGGCCAAGCAAAAATGCTGACAGCCAATCCAGCGATTTGGAAAAACTGCATATAAATATGCACGCACTGGCCGAGAAAAATGCGGTGGAGCTCCGTCGTGCATGACCACATGTCTCTTCTTAAATAAAGTAGAACTTCTTCAAGCCGTGGAAGAATTTTTGCTTGGCCACCCAGAAGTCCGGACTTCAATCCTCTTGATTTTTCTTTTTGGTCTCGAATGAGAGATATAGTTTACAAAGAATCTATTGGTTCGCATGAAGAGTTGTGGCAATGAATATAAATCGCTGCCAACGAAGTCAGATGCAATCCCAATATGTTGTTTCAAACTCGAAGATCTCTCAGAAAACGTTGTGTAAAGTGTATCAGTGTCAACGGTGGTTGCTTCGAACAATAATTACTTTAAATCATTATTACGTATTTCATTTGTTTTATTGTTGATTGTTGAAATGACATGAAGAAACACTTAGCTTGTTTCGCTTTTAATTTTTGGCATTATCAAAACATAGTGTTCGTTAAATCGATTTTTCTCTAACACGGATCGAGATACCGAAATGAAATGAGAGTACATAATTAATGGAAAAATTATTGCTCTTTCAGCTTTTGAATCAAGTTTCATGTTAGATATGCAGAGTAAAAAGTTATTAACTAAATTTTTGGTAAATTTGGTCGTAGGTAGCGCCCGCTATGAGCAACGCTGAAATTGCAGCACCAGGATTTGCAAAATTTATATAGATTGGACATATAACACAAAAAAGGTGAAACTACTTCTCAATTAATTATACAAAAGCTGTAACAGCAACAATGACATTAATAAAATTGCCAATGAATGTATAAATACCAATGAAATAAGAAAGATTTTTTTTATGTTGAGGACTGAGTAAATTTAAATTTAATATTCTTTGCCGCAATTATTGTTAGTGCGTTTTAAATTATGTAACTGCTTGTTTCGAATGTACAAAATATTTAATTACTGTTGCATTCGTTACTGGCTTTGATTAAATACCAATTTTAGTTTTTCCTTTGTAAATATAAGACATTTTTAGTTTTTTTAGGTATTTGCAGATACATATTACATATATTTATTTATTCCAATTTTTGTAAAATGTATGTTAAGTTTTGACCAAATATATAAAGGGTTTAAAAATTATGTAGGTACGTACTTTTCACTACCCAAGCAAATTACTGTTGATGTTGATGATGAGCTAAGTAAGCATCAACGGAGAAATTGCTAAGTCCGTCTCCCTGACTATACAAATCGAAGTGGAAAATACTTTCCCAACAAGTAACACTTTCTGAAAAACAAATGACTAATTTGAAATAGGAATAACACTGTCTAAAGTAAAACTTAAAAGGTGAAATAAAGCTTGTATGAAATTAAATCAAACTTTCTGAAAGAGTATCGTATAAGAACAAATAAGATATAAAAATGTATAAAATAATTCACAATTTTTTTAATTGTTGTAACAATCAACCACTTACTTATCTATAAAACCACAAAGCAAGAATAAAATATATTGTATTACTTACACTAAATAAAATTTACCCTAATCCCTGTTTATAAAACCTGTAAGATAACGCCTAACGTCTGAGAAAGTCTGAGAAAAGT